CAAGACAGGAAAAGGTCAGAGTATAGTCCATTTTTATAAACTTTAATTACCTGATCTAACTTACAAAAGGGCCTGCCTTGGATTTATCACCTATCATCACTGGAAAAGTCTGAAATTTTTATTTCTTATTTTAGGATATTAAAATAATAACTTGAAGCAATTTTCCCCTTTCTTGTAAAAGGCTCAATTTTAACAAACACTCGAGAATTGGGTTTTTTTTTTTTAGGTCTTTTTGAGACAGGGTCTCCCTGTAGCCCCAGCTGTCCTGGAACTCACTATGTAGACCAGGCACAGAGATTCGCCTGCCTCGCCTCCCGAATGCTGGGATTAAAGGCATGCGCCACCGCATCCGGCCCTTGATACTTGTTTTTAAATAAGAAAACGTAAGCTTCATTTCATTACAAGGACTGTGGCAGAAAAAATAAATCAATAGGAGAGGAGACAAACCCAAGTTTATAGTGTCGAATTTAAAAAGACTATTTATTCCATAAATAATAAGTTTCCAGGTAATTTTTCCAAATATCTTAGTCCCTTGGTTCTTAAGAACCAAGTAGCCCTTACTTAAATATCAGCAAACACTACATGCAAACATCGGGTGGGGAGAAGAAATTAATACATTCATGCCTTAAAGAGAGCAAGGGAGGAAGACAGGGGCTTTTGGAATTTTAGAGTAAACATACTAAGACTTCTGATCATGTAGCCAGAAATCCCAAACAGGTTGTCATCAACCTTTCTACTTAACAGAAAGGTCATGCAGACAGGGTTTCCCCCTCTTTGGATCATTCAACCTCTTAAGACACAAACGTGTCTTCACTGCAAGCCAGGCAAACCCAAAACGCAACATTTTCTGCATGCTGGTCAAATACCTGGACTGTGCGCTTACGAAACGATGACAACATGATGGCGGAATGTGGAGTCTGAAGAGGGAAGGGAAGAGCAAAATAACAAACTTCTAAGGGCAAGTGGGCCAGAATCACCTAAAAGTGAAGAGAACAGTTCTGGGGAAACACATGAACACAGGTTAAAATCCAATCTCAGGTCTTCCAGGGCCTTCTGTTTAAGATCATAGTGTCCCCATCCCACCAGAAATCCAAAACATAGGAGAAGCAAGCTTCCAAAGTCTTAGTAGTTACCATTACTGAGGTGTGGTTGGCCAAGTCTCCTTTCTGGGATCTTAGTTTCCCCAAGTGTCCAACTTTAATGCTGACTGTACTTTAAAGAAACAAGTATGTCCTCCCATCCACATAGTAGGGAAAGGAAAGGAAAGAAAATGTACTCCCAATTCCCATGATAAACTGGAAAGCTCAGGAGTAGGTGATTCCTAAACTTCTGTGAATTCAGTAAAAGGTTCCACGAAATCCTAATAAAGAACTCAAGCTACAAAGAAAGACTTGAACGTAGGTCTAGAATGCTGGTCATACTTCTTTACAAAATACTGTTTCCTGTTCAAAACTAGAAGAGGCATGTGCAAAAGAGACAGAAGACTTGATGGTTCACTGCACAGCTGTTCCCGTCAACTGGCTCTAAGTGGTCAGCTGTGGGGTTCTCTGCATTCCTGGAGTCGGCATTTGCCATGAGAGAGGGTGTTCTCCTGAAAGGGGGCAGCTGATGTGCTGCTACAGACCCAGATGCACAGCTAGTGGAGCTCTCAGGGTGCCCATGGAGGACTGCTTACAAAGGAAGGCTGCCCTTGAACCCACTGTCCTGAGAGCATGTTCCACAATGACAGGATGAGGGGGAGTCATTCCTAAGGGCCATTTCTCAATATCTGCAGTGGCCCCGCCCTTTGAGATGAAGGCAGGGAAAGGAAAAGTAAAGAAAATTCTGAGCCAACCGAAAGATCTACTTAATACAGGACTCCCCCTTAAGCCTGTTTAGATCACTTACATCAATCAGGCTTACAATGGAGCCGGTGACATCAAATTTCTCCAATTATTAGATTACCACAAAGCATGCTGCCAAGGCCAAAAGCAGCATCAGAAAACAGCCGGCTGTGGTGGCTGCAGCCTGCCATGGGCCCAGCTACTCAGGAAGTGGCAGGATGAGCCTGCGTTCAATAGTTTGAGGCAACACAAAAGACCTCACTTGAAGAAAAAACAAACAAAAAAAAAAACTGAGGGGCAAAAGCCAGGCTTGTTGGCAGGAGGCAGAGGTAGGGTAAGAACACAGGGAGTTCATGACCAGTGTGAACTAGCTACATATACCCAGCCTATCAGAAAGTAAGTTGGCTTACAGGTTACCATAAGAACTGTCTCACACTTGGCCAGTATAGGGCAAACCCTCCTTTTTCTATCCTCTCTGACAAGTCCCTGGGTAACAGTTAACACACTTCTGAGGGTTCCTTTGAGTAATTAATGGCCCAGTTACTAAAAAAGGCTTATTGTTAATTTCCTGCAGAGGCCCTAACTGCAGCTCATTTTTAAAACTTTGACTTCAATTTGACCTTTAAAATCTCTGACATTAGCTGTAGAGAAAGGGACAATAAATGGCTCCTTTGAGGACTGGGAACCAGGGCGCACTGGCTTCTTAAAAATGACTGTTCCTGACGCTATTAAGATTTTGTTTCCTGGCTCCAAGACACCCCACCTTCCCATCTTTGATACATTCTGTTTTACTTAAGTCCAAGTGCTATGACGACGCAGTTTCCTAGCACATTATGAAAAACCTTCATATGGTCTCTCTTCTCGACAGCCATGATGATTAAGTAACATGGCAAGAAGAGACAGAACAAAGGACTTAAATATTTTAGGATCCAAGATTTATACATCTATCTTAAACATATATATTATGTATGTACATAAAGATCTGATCATTTGGGAGGCTGAGGCAGGAGGATCATCAGTATGAGACCAGCCTGAGCTAGCCAGCAAATTCTAGGCCAGCCTGGGCTACACAATAAGAGCCTGTCAAGGAAGAGAGAAGTGTGTATGGGGGTTAGATATATAAATAAATAGTTTTAAAAACCTGGTAAGGTCAGGTGTAGCGAGTTTACAACCAAATTCCCCCAGCTTTCTGGACCATTTACGTTTTCCATTTAAAACACATTCAACCTTGCCTTCAGAAAGCCCCCTTATTTAAGAAATGTTTAAGTCCAGGACTTGAGGTATTATTCTTTGAAAAAATCAATTTATCACATTCACAGGGACGGCTTTCAAACAAAAGACTGCTCTGTGATCCCACACCGGCATGGAGGTAGAATTGTGGACGAATAATAGTCAAAAAATACTCAGTCTCGCATTTAAGGGGGGGAGGTGAGGGGGGGGCTCTGAGCGACCAAGGTTCTCCATGTGGCTCTCCCACCAAGCGTGACCCTGTTACATACAAGTTACATACAAGGGGAGAAAAGACGTTTATCACGAGGAAGGGAGACGGAGGAGCCGCATCTGCGACCTTGCAGCGGCCTCAGGGCCGCGCAGGATGCAATCGGTGCAGGGGACGCGCTGCAGGGCGGGGCGCGGGCCACGGCCCAGGACCCCCACCTACAGCGTCCGGAGCCCCCGGGACCCTCCCCACTCAGGTCGGCCGCGCCCCGCGCCGCACGCGCACAAAAGCCGGGCGTTCTCGGCGCAGGGGGTCGAGGCCCGGCCAGCTCACCTGTCCGCCCGGCCCCGCCCCGCCCCCGCTCCCGCGCCGGGGCCTCCAGCGCCTCCACCCCGGCCTCCCCGCGCCGGCCCTTCTCACCGGCTCTCGGGGGTGAGGGGCGTGGGTCGCCGGGCTGAGGGCTGCTGAGGAAAGCGATGCGACGCCGCGGCCTCCACTCCACGCCGTTCGCTCCGCAGCGGCTACTGACGGTGACGCGCGCGGCGGCTCTGCTTTTATAGGCCGCCGGGCGCGCTCCCGTGACAGGCGGCGGCGGGCGCGAGGGAAGCGCCCCGGGAGACGGCGCGACGGGCGGGGGAGTGCGCGCGGCCGAGCGAGAGGGGGCGGGGCTCGGCGTCCGACTGCCCGCTGGAAAGGGTCGAGCGCCTCCGGAAGGAGCCGAAGCGGCCACGGGAGGCGGGGGTGGGGCCGAGCTGCGGAGGGCTGCGGAGGCTGGGACGCTGGGGCGCGCGCGAGGGGTGCGGGGCGCGGGACGCGGGGAGGGTGCGCTGCCTCCGCCCTCGCTGTGGCGTGGGCGCTCCAATTCTGCCCCGTCCCGCCCCGCCCTGCGGAGAATCTGCACCGCGCCCTGGGCCCCGGGAGCCGGTCCAGGACTGCGGCGAAGGGCGGGGCCGGGATGCTGCCCGCCCGGTCCCTCCACGGGTGAGGTCACCCGGATGCTGCTCTTCCTGCCCACTTTCTCCGGAGGGGGCTGGGGAGGTGGTAAGAGTCTAAGTCTTGATTTAAAAAAAAAATTACATATATATATATACATATATATGATTGAGATATTTTGTGTGAAATACACAGAAACTCAATAAAAATGTACAAAAATAAAAATGTAAAAAGATTTGGAGAATTCTTACATTCTTACAGCAAAAGCTTTCTCTTTGGTCACCAGAACAGGGTGTGTTAGTCCTAGTTCATAAGACATTAGTTTCCCCACAAATTTAACTTTGTATGCGCTACCTTTTGGCTTTTTAAAAATATTTGCATCAATTTTACGAGGTAGATACCGTTTCGCCCATTTTACAAATGCTCACCCTGATATAACGAGCTATCCCCAGGTCAGGCATGAAGCCATCAGAAAAGCTAGAATTTGAACCCAAGCGGTTATGCAGGTGGATGCTGGGCTTTTGAGAAGAGGAAACAAGTTTCCTGCAATTTCTGCCCTATAAGGTAGACGTAAAAAAAGCCAAGTCCCTCTTTCCCTTCCCCCATTTCAGTGATTATTGGGCAAACGCCATTGTGAGCATCATCCAGCTCATTCTGCGCAGCCTGGCAGGCTGGGAGTTCTGCAGCACCCCCAGGCATCAGCCTGGTTACCAAGCAGCCTTCCTCCTTAAATAAATAGAAAGGCATTGGGCGTTGCACCAGAATTTGGGCTTCCTGGTCCTCTGCAGTTTGCCTGGGTGGGGATCTGCAATTTGATTTCTAAGCTGCCAGGGCTGTAGGCTCGTTAGTGAGGGAAAATTTCCAGTCCTTTTTCCTTGGAGTGGAGAGACAGGATTGACCACACCCCAGGAACAGCCCTACAAAATCCGGAGGAAAGAGGGAAAACGTAGGCGCTGAGAGACATTTCCTGCAATCTTCCACGCAGAGAAAAACGGACTGGGGAGCTGTTCCCTGGTGTGTGCATTTCTGAAAACATCTGACGGCGTCCATGGCGTCTTCAGCCACTTCAACAGCGAGGTTTTATATAAGGTACAAAAGGGTACAAAAGGGCTAGCACAGTTATAACTCCAAAATTTCCAAGCCCTTCTAGCATAGCAAAGAATGGGTCTCAGGGCTGTGGGTTTTAAAATTTCATTTTTATTTTATGTGTATGCATGTACTGCCTGCATGTATGTAAGTGAATGTGGGTGCTGGAATTTGAACCTGGGTCTTCTGCAAGAACAGCCAGTGCCCTTCACTGCTGAGCTGTATCTCCAGCCCAGCTGTGGGTTTCTAGTCACCCAGGTCTCATCTGAAATAGGGATTTTACTGCTTCTACCAAATGACAAATTGGAGAGCTAAAGAGAGATTTTTTGATACAGAAACTAAAAATCCTATTTTTTGATCCTTTCTGCAATCTGAAGAAAGGCCAAGATAACTATCCGCAGCTCTCCTAAGCTCCCACTCACCCACCTACCATGTTCTCATTTCAAACTAGAAATAAGACATCAAAGAGCCAGTCTTCATGGGTTCTATTGTCGCCTTCCTCCCTCTCACACTTTGAGCATATGCTTCACATTCTGTTAGATATGTGGACAGGGAGAAGATAAAGCACATAATAACTGGTTTTTAAGAGAACTGACGTGGGAGGAATACAGCAGTGTGGCAGCTTGGTAACCAATCAGCTCTGGGTTCTGGTCCCACCTCTCACAGCCTCCAGAGAAGCAGCCAGTCCAACTGAATTCTCAGCTCCTGGTTCCTGCAGCCCTCTGAGGCTGGGTACATCACCCAGGCTTAAGCTTGGGAACCTGACTACCTTCTCAAGTTGTTCAAATAGTCAACTGTTGGCTGGGAAACACACTAATTGTAATGTTGTCACATGTTGTAGCCATGGAATGTCACCTGTGCACTTTCTCTACACACACACACACACACACAAAAAAAAAAAAAAAAAAAAAAAAAAAAAAAAAAAACCAAAAAAACCCAAAACCATCAAGAAGCTGATTGGGAAGAATCATGCTGCAAGTGGACTGTACCTCTTCCCAGATGACAATCTGCAGAGTCAGAGCTTGCAGGCAGGTCACACAAACCTAAACACACCTTGTGAATGGTGAGGATGTTAAACTAGTGAAATAAACCAGACACAGGAGAGCCAGTATTACATGAGTCCACCTACTTCAGAGCCCTGCAGCAGTCCGTCAGAGGCAGAGACAGAGGAGACCACTGGTGGCCAGGGACTGAGAGGAGGCAGGAATGGAGTTGGGGGAGCAGTTTCTACTTAGGATGAGAATGTTCTAGAGTCCAGTGCTAGTGATGGATGTGTACATTCGTTGTTCCATTGAGAACATGTTTTCAGAAAATATTCTATTTACTTGTGTGTGTGTGTGTGTGTGTGTGTGTGTGTGTGTGCACGCATGTGCATGGGCACCACAGGACGTGTGGAGGTCAGAGTCTGTTCTTGAAGGAGTTGCTTTTCTTTTTCCTTCCATCATGTGGGTACCAGAGAGCAAACTCAGGTCATCAGGCTTGGCAGCAAGTGCCTTTACCTGCTAAGCCATCTCCAAAGCCCAAGGCTTGTCTTTTTGTTGTTGTTTTAGTTTTTTCAAGACAGGGTCTCAGGGGCTGGAGAGATGTCTCAGCAGTTAAGAGCACTGACTGCTCTGGCAGAGAACCTGAGTTCAATTCCCAGCACCTACATGGCAGTTAACAACTGTCCGTAACTCCAGTTCCACGGGATCTGACGCCCTCTTCTACTCATGAGCATTGTGTGATGGGTGCACTTACATGCATATACTGATACACATTAAAAACAGAAAAAAAGAAGAGTCTCACACTGGCCCGGAGCTCATGGAAACCCTTCCACCTCAGCTTCCAGAGTGCTGTGATTGCAGAGGTGGTGCCAGTACACCCAACTCTCCTGTTTATGTTAAATATGTTAAAACCAGTTTCAAAAGCCACGTCAAACTTCAAAAAACAAAACAAAACCCCCAAAACAAAACTGTGGCACGTCCCACTGTCTTGAGACTAGCCCAACTATAAGCAATTCCTGCTGGAGCCTGACACCTGCCTCAGTTTCCTTGTCCACACAGCACGAGTTCTTACATTTTTCTCCATGCACCTACGTTTACCTACCCCCAAAATATGATATTTGCTGGGGGTGTAGCTCAGTTGTTAGAATATGTGCCTAGCATATGTGAAGCCCGGGTTCAAATCCCAGGACTACAATCAACCACAAAAATCTCCCTCAGAGCAGCTAAAACATATTACTTTTCTAACCTCTTGCTTTTGCTCATTTTTTCTCTGATTAGAAAGTCTTCCTTTCCTGACACTCATCCTTCATTTCTGCCTGACAAATCTCTCCAATGAGAGAGAGACAGAGACAGAAAGGCAGAGAGAAAATAAATATGATTTTGGAACACCAGTTGACAGTACAGATCTACATGTAAAGTTTGCATCCCATTACAATAATGTCGCATCCAGGGATTTGCCCTAAGGAAGCAGGACAAGAAGTATATTTAAGAATGTTAGAGCTGGAGAGATGGCTCAGTCAGTCAAGTGCTTGCTGTGCAAGCAAGCATGAAGACTTGAGTTTAATCCCCAGCTCCATGTAAAAAAGCCAGACATGGGGGGCTGGAGAGACGGCTTGGAGGTTAAGAACACTTGCTGCTCTTGCAGAGGACACAGGTTGAAATCCTGGCACCCACATGGCAGCTAACTTTCTGTAGCTCCAGTTCTAGGGGATCTGAACACCCTCTTCTGACCTCTTGCACAATGCAGGTACACTTATATGAATGCAGGCAAGATACTCATACACACACACACACACACACACACACACACACACACACACACACATTTTTCTTAAAAGCTAGATATAGCAGTGCATGCCTGTAATCACAGCTTTGGCAATGTGGAGACAGGAGGATCTTTTGAGTCTGGCTGCCCAGCCAGTCTAGCCAAATTAGTGAGATCAGGATTGACTAAGGGACCCTGTCTCAAAAAATAATGTGGAAGCTGGGCATGAGGGCTCACACCTTTAATTCCAGCCCTTGGGAGGCAGAGGCACGCAGATCTGAGCTCAAGGCCAGCCTACTCTATACAGCAAGTTCTAGGCCAGTCAGGACTACACAGTGAGATTCTGACTCAAAAAAAAAAAAAAATGTGGAGAATGACAGACACCTAGCATCAACCTTTGGTCTCTGCCCACTTGCATATAGACACATGAACATATATGTACACATACACCCCTCCATACTCAATATATATTGAATTCCTCTAACTATTCAGACGTTAAGTCACAAAAAGTCCCAAGTTTCATTCCTACTTAAATATGTATTTCATTGTCAATGAATTAATGCTGACATAATGTTATTATCTTGTTTTTATTTATATTTTATGTGTATGAGTGCATTGCATACATGTATGTAAGTGCACCCATGTCATACAATGCCTGTGGAGGTCAGAAGATGGTGTCAGATCTCCTGGAGCTGGAATTACACACAGTTGTCAGCTGCCATGTGGGTGCTAGGATTTGAACCCAAGTGTTCGACAAGAATACCCAGTGCTCTTAACCACTGAGCCATCTCCCCAGCCCATAATGCTATTTTTAAACAGACATTATTTGAATTTTGCCAGTGTTCATAATCACTGATTTATTTTTGAGTGTTTTGCCTACATGTATCTAAGTGCACCTGTGTGTGCAATGCCTGAGGATGTCAGAAGAGGGCCTCAGACACTCTGGAACTGGTGTTATTGATGGTTGTTAGCTGCCGTATAGGTGCTGGGAACTAAACCTGGGTTTTCTGCAAGAGCAGTCAATGCTCTTAATCTCAGTGCCATCTCTGCAGCTGTAGCCAAAAACCAATAGTATAAGCTTTTTTTCTTTTTTTTTTGTCCAGGTTCCAGGATCATACCTTGTACTTAGCTTAAAACATCCAAAAAGAGCTAAGAGAAAAAAAAATCCATACTTTAATCTGAATAAACTTTTTTCTTTTTTGGATTTTTTGAGACAGGGTCTCCCTGTAGCCCCAGCTGGCCTGGAACTCACTATGTAGACCAGGCTGGCCTTAAACTCACAGAGATCTGCCTGCCTCTGCCTCCTGAGTGGCAAGATTAAAGGCATGTGCTACCAACATCTGGCTAATCTGAATTAACTTTGAGAGTTCTTTTCTTTTTTTTTTTTTTGGTGGGGGGTAAGGCATCTCATGTAGACCAGGCTGGCTTCAGACTCACCATGTACCTGATGACAACCTTGAATTTCCAAGCTGGGTTTTGTGCAGTGGTGGTGATTGATAGAACTCAGGTGTACATGCAAGGCCCATGAACTGGTATTTCTAATGCCAGCTGGAGCTGGAGAGATAGCTCAGCGGATAAGAGCACTGGCCACTCTTGCAGAGAACATGGGTTAGATTTCTAGCACCCACATGGTGGTTAACAACTATCCTTAACTCCAGTTCCAGGGAGAATCCAACGCCCTCTTCTGACTTCTGCAGGCATTGCATGACACAGGTGCACTTACATGCACGCAGGCAATACACTCATACAACATAAGATAAAAATAATAAAATATAGCCGGGTGTGGGGGCACACACCTTTAATCACAGCACTCAAGAGACAGAGGCTGGTGGATCTCTGTGAGTTCAAGGTGAGCCTGGTCTACATAGTGAGTTCCAGGCCAGCTGGGGCTACAGGGAGACCCTGTCTCAAAAACACCAAATAATAATAAGAAAATAAATGAAGGCGGCTATCCAGTGGGGGATAATAAATGTGTGTTTTTGTAAGTGCATCACCTTGCTGAAGGCCCACAGTTCTGCTTTCTGTAGGTCTACATGAAATCTAGTATCTGGAATTCACTAGATGGGACAGAGAAATGGGAAGGGAAGTGGCCAGGTTTATGACAGGACCTTTAAGAAGCTCTGTGGCTCTCAAGGAGCTCTTGTCCTAGCACTGAGGATGTCTAACTCTGTTATGTCAGTCGAATCTGTACAGGAAGCCCAAGGAGAGGTGGGCTCCCAGTGCCCGATGGGAAGACCCCAGGGCTGCTCCATTCTTCTGTACTTCAGATATGCAGCGTTCCTGGCCGATTGGAATTCTCAGCACATCATCAGATCACAGTGATATGACAAAAAATGTGGGCACTCAGCCTGAGAAATGAGGTCATGCTCCAGAGGAAGCAGGCAGACAAGCGAGACTGAGCTGAAGGGTGAATGCAGCCCTTAGCATTCTGGGATAAGGAAACTGATGCATCGACCTGTGTGGAGCTGCGCCCATCAGCTGGCGATCACGATTTCTGAGGCAACACTATCAGCAGGTATCAAAAACCTGGACTCTGAATGCTCTCCTGTTTACCTTTGGGACTCCATCGGGGTAACTAGCATTGAATGACGAACAAAGACTAATCACATCCAAAGGACAGACATTAAAATAACTACAAAATACATTTCTGGGCTCTAGAGAGGGCTCAGTGGGTAAAGAAGCTTGTGGGGTATGCCTGACTTGAGTTCAATCCCCAGAACCCATGTAAATGTAGAGAGAACCGACTCTATAAAGTTGTCCTCTGACCTCCATAGGCAAGCTGTGGTACATGTGCACCCCCATGATAATAAGCTTTTTTTTTGGGGGGGGGTCTTTTTGAGCTAGCCTGGAACTCACAGAGATTTGCCTGCCTTCTAAGTAAATAAGCTTTTTAAAAAGGTATTTTCTGGCTAGGAGTGGTGGTCCATGCCTTTAATTCTAGCACTCCAGGACATACCAGGGGAAGTGCCATCCAGGAACTGCTGCCAAACACGTGACGAAAGCTACTGTAACAATTTTGTTTGTTTGTTTTTTTGTTTTTTTTTTTTTGTCTCTTTGAGACAGGGTCTCCCTGTAGCCCCAGCTGTCCTGGAACTCACTATGTAGACCAGGCTGGCCTTGAACGCACAGAGATCCACCTGCCTCTGCCTCCTGAGTGCTGGGATTAAAGGTGTGTACCACCATGCCCAGCTCAAATCCTTGTTTCTTTTTAATGGAGTTATTTTTATTATTATTATTTTTTGGTCTTTTTGAGACAGGGTCTCCCTGTAGCCCCAGCTGTCCTGGAACTCACTATGTAGACCAGGCTGGCCTTGAACTCACAAAGATCTGCCTGCCTCTGCCTCCCAAGTGCTGGGATTAAAGGTATGCGCCACCACACCTGGCTGGCACAAATTTTTTTTTTTTTAAAGGAATAATATAAAACCAGTTTTTCCAAGATAAAGGTCAAGATGATAAAAAGGAAGAAACACACACTATCACTCTACTAGACCCACACACTGCCGTGTCCATGAGTCGCACAACTCACGTACAGGAAACTGATCATACTAAGGCAACTACATACCAGTAGTAGGAATTCTTAAAATTCAAGCTTTATTACTCAATTTTTGGCACTGTAGTCAACAATAGAACGGGTCACTTCAAGCCATTCAGCAGTACCAACGACCACCCCACCACACAAGGCACTTAGCATGTAGGAACAGATCAGAGCTGTGGCCGCTTCCTCCGCAGTATAAGGGAATCTTTTCTCTCAATAGTCAGTTCCTCCTGAACACCAAGTCACTGCTTATGAGTGTTCAGCTCACATGTAATATTGCAAGCCATATCTTGGCTCATCTTAATTTGGACTGAAAAACAACAGAAAAGGTCCCCAATCTAGTGCATGTACCCTTAGCCATCCAGGATCAAGTTACAGATGAAGGTGACAGAGTCCTCTACAGCTCCATGTTTTCAGTTTGAATCAAGACACCCAGCTACCCTGGACGCACTCTGGGATTCAGTCCACGCCTACTTCATATGTGTTTTCTGCCTTTATGAGCACTTTATAAGCCATAAAGTGTACAGTGCCTTATTCTGTAACCCAGACTTGCATGGAAGGATTAGGCTTCAACTATTAGAGGATACTGCCAAGGAACCTTCGAAGTCTCGCTCTTTCTAGGAACAGATGTGAGCAGTGATGGAGTACAGGGTGAAAGTGAAAACAGTGGGCTCATCCCAGCTCAGAGTGAAACGGCTGAAGTATCACAACTTCCCGTGAGAGTAAGAAAGGCCAGTTCCATTTACTGTCATGTGGGTACCTATGGGAACTACCAAATCTGCTAAGAGACGGCCAAAATGTTGTGACTGCGAAAATCTAAGTCACGTGGTAAAAACATAAAAAACACACTGACAAATTTACAAATCTGACATGATTTCTTCCCAGTACCACTGTCCTCAGTTGTTTTGTTGTTGCCCCTCTGCAGAACGGGGAAGGCCGGTGACACAGGGACATCAGGAGCGCCAGAAGGAGGAAGTCAGAAAGCCTTTGGGAACAGGAATCTCCCTGCGTTGCAAACATTTCTGGACAGGGAGAGATGAAGAACACAGAATGAGTTCCTGATCCTACTCTAGAGTTGGGAGTCACTCAGCTACGGCAAGCTCAAGTCCTGTGGAACAGTGGACAAAAAGGGAGGAGCCTGCACGTCAGTCCTCTCGTCTGTGGAGGCCTGTCCCACCCTGGTCTCCCAGACCCCAGCTGCTGCCATCTCTCATCAACCAGCCACATTCCTGGAATCTGTCAGTGAGCTAATGACCTGGGCACGCCTACCACCAAGTTCTAGAGAGTTTGTCAAGATGAATCCGTTAAAACATCCAGGTACTTAGAGGAAGAGTCTAACTGAAAGTGCAGTCTGATGCCATGAGAAAAGTGGCCACACTTGACAGTTCTTGAGCCCAGGACTGAGAAAGGAACCTTATTTGACAAGCATAAACAGAAAGTTTACGTGAGAGATAAATTACCGAGACCTTACTGTGCATCCATCTGTAGGATAGCTGCCTGACAGTGTGGAAAACACTATGTAGGAACGAAGTGACACCCATAGTCTAGAAGGCAAGTGACGATTATGAACAGCAAGCGGAATGTGGGAAAACAAACAGGAGGAAAATGCAGTCGGCATGTGGAGGACCGAGACTCGTCAAACAGACGTGTCCAGGCAAACAGTTAAGACGTGCTGGGACGGAGGACATCTTACCTCCAAGAACTGCTTCAGACGTATGAAGGAACCCATTTGTCCTGAGCTTGTGATGGCTTCAATTCTACAGGGAGAGAGAGAGATTTGTGAATCCCAGCTGTGACACATCCCTGTCCTTTAGAGAGGTGAAAACCGGATCTAGTGACTCTTCTAGACTAAGGATGCTGCTGCATTTCCAAATGGTTTGAGCCTTTCTTCCAAAGTGGACAAAGTAGAGGGATGCACGCATGGCCCCTTTCTGAGCGTTTTGAGATTGGGCGGATTGTTATCAGTTCCAGGCCACATAGAGCTACAGTGTGAGATCCTGATTCAACCTCCTCCCCCCAACAAAAAAGCCAGGCATCTTTTTAGTGTGCATGTCTGTATGTGTATGTGCACATTTGTGCACTGGGTTGAACACAGGGCTAGACACCCATACTCAATGCCAAATGTCATATATGTGTATGTGTGTGTGTGTGTGTGTGTGTGTGTGTGTGTGTATATATAGTCTTTTTGAGACAGGGTATCCCTGTAGCCTCCCAGCTGGCCTGGAACTCGCTATGCAGACCAGGCTGGCCTCAAACTCACAAAGATCTGCCTGCCTCTTGTCTTCCGAGTGCTGGGATTAAAGGTGTACGCCACCTTGCCTGGCTTCTTTTAATATTTTATTATTTTTATGTATATGAATGTAATGCCTGCATGTTGGTGGGTGCACCCATGTCATACAATGCCCACAGAGGTCAGAAGATGGTGTCGGCTCTCCTGGAACTAGACTGACAGACAGTTGTTAGCTGCCACAAGTTGTGCTAACCTCAAAATGTGCACTGTGGCATGTACACATCCACCTCTCTGTCAGTTCCCCACTGCTGTAAGTAAATATAAATAAGTGTAATTTTTTTTTGTTTTTTTTGAGACAGGGTCTCCCTGTAGCCCCAGCTGTCCTAGAACTATGTAGACCAGGCTGGCCTTGAACTCATAGAGATCCGCCTGCCTGTGCCTCCTGAGTGCTGGGATTAAAGGCATGCACCACCACGCCCAGCAATAAGTGTAATTTTTTTTATTTTTTTGGTCTTTTTGAAGCAGGGTCTCCCTGTAGCCCCAGCTATCCTAGAACTCACTAGGTAGAATAGGCTGGCCTTGAACTCACAGAGATCTGCCTGCCTCTGCCTCCCAAGTGCTGGGACTACAGGCGTGCACCACCACGCCCAGCTAATGAGTGTAATTTTGAAACGCAGCATGCGCTAGCACACAAGGCAAGGCTGACGGCTGCATTCCGTGTTTGAGCTCACTCCCCAGTGGTCTGCACAGCAAGCCTTCTACCTGGGGAAGTAGTCCTCTTGGATGAGAAGTATCATCTTCCAGAACTGGACCTGGTACTGCTTCATGAGGGCATTCCCGCACACCTAGAGGGAAGGTCAGAATCATGAGAACAGAGGACAGAAATCCATTCATGGGAGGACAGTCAGGCCCTCTATCACAGCGTTAGAAAGCTTCAGCCATTCGGGGCTGGAGAGATGCTCAGCAGTTCAGACCACTGGCACTCTTGCAGAGGACCTGGGTTCAGTTCCCACCATCTACATGGCAGCTAACAATAATCAGCAACTCCAGCTCCAGAGGATCTGGTGCCTTCTTCTGACCTTCTTGGGCATTGTTTCTTTTTCTTTTGATTGAGACAGGGTCTCCCTATAGTCCCAGCCGGCCTGGAACTCACTATGTAGGCCAGGCTGGCCTCAATCTCAGAGATCTGCCTGCCTCTGCCTCCCAAGTGCTGGGAATTAAAGGCATGCACCACCACGACTGGCCAGTAGTAGTTTCTTAGACAGAGGAGCTCCTAGACAGAGGAGATACTTGACTGGGAAAGCAAACTAAGATGGGCTGACAGCCCAGGATGGCTAGCTCCTTTACAGTGCACAGAGAAGCAGGGAAAGTTGGCTTCCAGAGCAAGAAGTCTTAAAAGACCATGTGGTCCCAGAGAGACTGTGCTGGTGCCTAGTGATCTAGTGAACTAGTGATCTAGTTCCTAGCTCCAGGGTCTCATTCTAGAACCCTAAAATGAATTCTGCTTTTCACTTAGGCTAGGATGTATGTCCTAACGAAAAGAAAATGGCACATCCTAGCCTAAGGGAAAGCGGTGTCAAGAACACTGGTAAGTAGACATGAAAGCCAGCCTGTCCCCTGGGGCACAGCTGCACTGCTCACCTCTAAGCTCCACTCTGCCGCTTCCATTCATGCCCCCCAGTGTCCTGAGATCTCGACCACTAGCTCCTCTTGAATGGTAACTTCATTACCTACCTCCAGGAAGTCAAACAGTAGGGTGGCTGTCACATCTGACAGAGGCTCCATGTTTAAGATCTGTGCCAACCACCGCCAGCCATGATTTAAGCCATGAGGATGACCCTAGAAGGAGAGAAGTGGGTCACAGTGTGATGTCATTTTGTTCAGAGAGATAAACTCCCAATGCTGTCGCTCAGCCATCACCAAGCAAATATGAACCCAACATCATCTGGTCATGCATGTGCCTCAGGGCAGAAAGAACACAGCCAAGGAAATTCTGTTCTGAAATGTTCTGATCCACACAGGCTCCCAATGTTCTTTACAGAGTTCCTCTGATACGTAAATGTCACCTTCAGACAGGAGTCAATAGGCCAAGACCACTACTCATATTTCTTTCTGAGTTATGAGACAGGGTCTTACTTTGTAGCCCAGGCTGATCTCAAGCTCATGGCAATCCTGGCTCAGCCTCCCAGGATGGGAGTTTAAGCATAAACGACCATGTCTGGCTCCTTGTTTGGTTTGGTATTTTATTTTTAAATTTTATTTATTATTTTTATTTTATGTATTTGAGTGTATTGCCTGCATATATTGTGAGTGCACCTGTGTCATGCAATTCCACAGAGGTCAGAAGAGGGCATCGAATTCCCCTGGAACTGGAGTTAAGGACAGTTTGTAGCCACCATGTAGGTACTGGGAATTGAACCCGGGTCCTCTGCAACAGCAGTCAGTGCTCCTAACTGCCGAGCTATCTCTCCAGCCCCAACTGCAACTTTCTTAACTAATGATTTATCTCAGCATCTCCTCTGGTAGGCGCTGCTCTAAAATCAGTTCTCCAGGGGCTCAGCTGAGGGAGAAATTAAACTTAGTTGATTCAAAAACATTGTCTAGCCAGGTGTGGTGGCACATACCTGTATTCCCAGCACTTGGGAGGCAGAGGCAAGAGGATCTCTGTGAGATCCAGGCTAGCCTGGTCTACACTGCAAGTCCCAGGCCAGTCAGAGCTACACAGTGAGACCCTCTCTCAAACAAACAAACAAACTAACAAACAAACAAACAAACACTAAATAAAAGTAGGGCTAGAGAGATGGCTAAGCTTAAGAGCACTAGCTACTCTTGCAAAGGACCCAGGTTTAATTACCCGCACTCACATGGCAGCTAACAACCATACGTAACTTTAATTCCAGGGGATACAATTCCCTCTTCTTTTTTTAAAAAAAATTACAGCCTCATCTACATAGTAAGTTCCAGGCCAGCTGGGGCTATCAGAGACCCTGTTTGAAAAACACCAAAAAAAAAAAAAAAAAAAATTTTTTTATGTGTATGAGTGTTATGCCTGCATGTAAGTATACCTGTGTTGTACCGTGCCATGGACTCAGAAGAAAGTGTCGGATACCTGGAACTGGGGTTATGGACAATTGTTAACCACTATGTGGGTGCTGGGATTTGAATCCAGGTCTGCAAGAGCAGCCAGTGCTCTTAATAGCAGAGTCATTTCTCCATCCCCCGACACCATCTCCTGACCTCTTTGGGCACTGTTTAACACAGGTGCACTCACACACATGCAGGTAATATACTGATACACATAAAATAAAGTATTTAAAAAATAAAAAATTCAGCTGAGCATGGTGGCGCATGCCTTTAGTCCCAGCACTTGAGAGGTAGAGGAGGCAGATCTCTGTGAGTTCAAGGCCAGCCTGGTCTACATAGTGAGTTTAAGGCCAGCTGGGGCTACAGGAAGACCCTGTCTCAAAAAGACAAAAAATAAATAAATAAAATTAATAAAATAAAATAAAAAATCCCCATGAGGCTACCACACGCTTTACCTTTTTATCGTGCAGCACCTCATCTTCAAAGGAGTTTAGAAACGCTCCCAAAGGCCATGTTACAGGCTTGGTGAACTGCCTGTGGCACTAATGGCAGGTGGTGGGGCCCAGTAGAAAGAAGTCAGGTCACTAGGGACAAATCGGACCCCAGCCCCTTCCAGTCCCTTTTCACTTCCCAGCTGCCGTGCGCAGCTCCGTTCTACCCACTCTTCACGATGCTCTGCTGCACCGTGTAAGTTGTTCATCTCCGCTGTTTCATTACGGTACAGAGAGAGTACTAACATTCTTTGTTGTGAATAGCAACTCTAACACAGACTCCGGGTAACAGGCCCTCCTCGGCAGCAAGGCTTTCTCTCCTACCTCCTGTCGGTTTCCATATGGCCACCGGAGCTGGATGATGGCAGCATACAGGCGGATCATCCCAGACATGCGTTTTAGAAAGTTGTCCTGTTGTTCCACTTTAGAATCTGTCACCTGATAGCCGAGCATCCTAGGTGTGAAGACAAATTTCAGTGTGACAAGGTGAAAATGAGGGTGACAAAGCAGATTTCTGTTTATAGCTAAATGTGGCACTATTTAAATCTGCAGAATATTCTCTTTATAAAGCACTCATAGCCATGATCGAATTTACATCTACAAAGGCTCTGCAAGGAAAACTCACAAATAAGGAAAATGATTCTCCGAAGAGGTTTAAATTATTCACCCAATTCTGCAAAGCTGTTAGATACAAAAACAGGAATAAATTCCAAGATTCCTATATCACAGATACAGTATTCTTTCCAGTGAACAAAACAGTACTGAAATCCACAAATCCCAAAAGCTGACCAGTTTACTTAATACAGACACCACTACTACTACTACTACTACTGCTACTACTACTACTACTACTGCTACTACTGTTTTTTGGGTTTTTTTTTTTTGGTTTTTTTTTTTTTGCAGGGGGAGACAGCAGTAGTGCTATGTAGCCCGGGCTAGCCTGAAACTCACAATCTTCCTGCCTCAACCTTCTAAATCCTGGGATTACAAGCAGGCAATGCCATTCCTAGTTCAAGACCTTATATTTCAGAGCACACAGGAGCTGTGTGGAGAAGGAAGCAATTCAAGTCTATTGCCATCCCATTACACTGTGTCTGAAGGGAAAGGAAGAAAGCAGGACGACCTCACCGCTGATAGTCCTCCATAGCCATCCCTTCCTTGAAAGCTGGGTAGAAAGGAACAGAGTATGGACACTTCTTATGGAGGTGAGCAAGGATGAGCTCTCCCACTCTGGGGTGCAGCTCCCAGATCCCAGAGGCCACGATCGCGATGGGGAACGCTGCTTCATGGTGAGAGGCCACTTCCTCCTCACCTTGTTTCTGGGAACACAGAGATGGGCAGAAGTGTAATGAGTATCGCAGAAGGCTGAACACTGCCCACCACGCTTTTTCCCATACCCCCGGCAACAAGGTTTCTCACCACAAATTTCTCTGCCAGTTTGTACTGAACAAAGTCCAGTCCCTGTGGATTAAGGGCAATAGAAACAGAGCGCCCACCGGACTGGACAGGCTTTCCAGAAAGCAGGCTGTGGATCTTGTCAAAGACCTCCTTCAACTTTGAACCTGGGTAGAAAACAGGTCAATAAGATACAACCGCAGTTGTGTGTGGTTGTACATAATTGTACCGACCCCGACACTTGGGAGGTAGAGGCAGATCGGGAACTCAAGGCTGGCGTTGGCTATGTATTGCCCTGTAGCATTTCAGAATCTAAACCCAAAATACTAGGGCAGAAGAATATACAACAAAGGGCTGCAGGGCTGGCTCAGTGGGTAAAGGGCTTGCACTAGCAGGAGGACCTGCATGGGAGCCCCAGCACATGTAAAAGCTGGGTTTGATGTGCTTGTAATTCCAGCAGTAGGCGGGTAGAGAAACACAGATCCTGGGGACTTGCTGGCCAGCCAGGCTAGCCAAAATGGCAAGCTCCAGATTCAGTGGGAGACCCTGTCTCAAAAAATGAGATGGAGGGGCTGGAGAGATGCTTCAGTGGTTAAGTGCATGTTCTGCTCTTGTAGAGGACCCAAGTTTGAGTCCTAGCACCCACAACAGGTGGCTGACAACAGCCTATAACTCCAACTCCAGGGGAACCCAATGCCTCTGGCCTCTGCAGACACCTGCATTCATGTGTACATGCCCCCCACACACAGCACGTACATAATTAAAAACATAAAAATAAGGGCTGGAAAAATGGCTAGGCAGTTAAGCACGCATACTGCTCTTGCAGAGGACCTGAGTTTGGTTCTAAGCACTCATTTCAGTTGGTTCCTAATACCTAGAACTCCAGTTCCAGGGGATCCAAAGCCTCTCTCTTCTGGCATCCTCAGGTACTCTAGTCATGTGTATATATCCCAGTTAAAATGAATCTTGAGGTAAAGAAAAAGGTGTCAAACAGTGCTACAGATCCCGGAGCTGTACCAGTCAGTGGCACCTCTAGAACCTTCTGAGGGTGTTCCCTGCTTTGGTTCATGTTCCCCTTTTCTGGGGCTGGCTCTCCATCACAGAGATCCAGCAGCGGGTTCCTGTTACAGCTTGGATTTTAAGTGTCCACCAAAGGTCCCTGAGGACCTGGCTTGCCCCTCAGCATGGCTCTGCAGAGGCAATCTCTAAGAGGCCGGCCGGCTGCCCCAGCTGCAGTCCTCCCCCTTCCTCATCCCAGTTCAGGTCAGCACTTCTGCTCGGACAGCACTCCCTCTGCCATGAGCCAGAACACAGTCATCGCACACCGAAGCTCTCCAATCTGGGCCAAGAAACCTTTCTTTTATAAACTTAGTATCTCACAAGTTAGTTACAGGAATGGAAAGCAGAACGCCACAGTTCTAACAGGTTTACGTGTAGGAAAGCCGTGTGCTCTACACTGTACACCAGCTACATTAGATTATGGGTAGTCAGGTTGAGCTCATCAGCCACCTAAGAGTCATTCCTTGAAGTGTGGTTCCTACAACAGTCTCATGGGTAGGGTGGGGCCTGCACCTGACCCACAGACCAATAGCTATCTATAAAATAGAGATGGAGGCGGACAGCAAAAAGAACAAAGTCAAGTCTCCCCTTCTTGAGAGCTCCAACCCCATTCCTGCCACCGGGTTCTGAACTATGTCTTTATCTTTAGGATAAACATCATTTTTCCTCAATCTGAATTTTCATTGTTCCAGACTTGCAACCAAAGGTGTAGTTAACACGGTGTCCTAGAAGAGAAGAACCCTGTAAAGTTTCTAATCACTTTAGAAGTGTTACGTGTCAAAAATATCCTCCCAAGCCAGATGCAGGAGGGAACCAAACATCAAATAAAGCAGCATAGAAACCCCAAGACAATCATTCCAGAAAACCAGAATCTTATCGAGATTTCCACACACATCCCCACTCACATTCCTGCTAAGGCATAATCTACTGCTGTTAGCAACAGTTTCAAACACCCCGCTGGCTGAACCTCCCATCCATTCCCTTTCTCCCCCCTATGCCTGACATGGCCTACCATAGCCACCAAGCTATGTCCACATCTAGATTGTCCCCAATCATCACAATTCATGGATATTAGCCTCTTTTTTTGAGACAGGAATGAGGTCACTTTTCTTCTCACTCATTCAACCCTTACTGAGCACTAATCCCACAGCTGCACTGGGTTTTGCTGAGGCAGAGGAGTGCCTCATGTGGCTGCTAGAGGCTCAGAAACGAGGGGTGAGGGGGTAGGTGGAGAGGAATGACCCAGGACAGAGCTAGGAGTCACCAGGGCACAAGTACTGTTTGAAGTCACAGAGCACATGGGATGAGCAGAGCTGTGGGGTAAGAGCAGACCCCTGGGAAGCACTGAGGGACCCGCTAGAGAAAGGGAGGCAGAGTCTGGGAAGCAGTTCTGCCACAGAAGCCACAGTTCACAGGACAAATGGAAACAGGCAAGATCAGAGACTGAAGGGAAGGTAGAGGATCAAGGGAATCAATGCTGTTACCATGTGAACAACTCAAGCACTTTTAAAGGAAGGAACTGTGAAGAGAGCAATCTCAGGATCAAAGGAAAGGTCAGAAGCAATGAGCCAAGCCTGGCAGCCAACAGAGGGGATGGAAACAGGAAGAAACTTCCAGAGGGTGAGGTCAGGCAGGAAGGCACCTCAGCCTCCAAAACAGGAGGCTAAGACGTAAATACAGCCCATAGAAGCAGACAGGGCCAGCCTCTGAGGAGTTCATGGTGCACCACCACCTCCCCCATACCCCTACATCCCCCGTCTCCTCCCACAACCGGAGGCAAGAGTGAGAAGTGACTGAGAGACAGACTAGAGCCAGGCTGGGGAGAGCAGCCAACCCCTTTGCAACTGTTATCAGAGGGAAGAGCACTTTAAATTCCACAATAGCTATGTATTTATTTATACTCTGTCCTCTTCTAGAAAGAATTTCAGGCAACAAAGGTTATATAAGTTCTGTCACACAGCCTCTTGAGGACACTCAGCCATGTTCCTGTGTTTTTAGCAACAAGTTAAGGGGCGCTGGGGTTAGGGTTAGCCAAAGCAACGCTAACTGTGTACGTTCTTCCCGCTCTTGATGGTTCAGCCTGCAATCTGGAGGCCCTCTCGTCCAGAGCTCCATGATACAGAACTCTGGTGCTAAAGACGGGTCTTTTTCTCTGTGGTTTTGTTTTCTGAAACTCTGGAGGGCAGAATATTTGGGGTTTGGAAAACCTAATGCAGAACAAAGCAGGACAAAGCAGAGATCACAAGGCACATCCCAGGCTAGTCCTCCCACCTTCCCTCCCTCCCTCTCTCCACCCCCTTCCTAGGTTCTCTTAGCCATTCTAAATAATTTACATTAATATATAGTTTTTTGGGTTTTTTTTTTTTGGTCTTTTTGAGACAGGGTCTCCCCGTAGCCCCAGCTGTCCCGGAACTCACTATGTAGACAAGGCTGGCCTTGAACTCAGAGATCCACCTGCCTCTGCCTCCCAAGTGCTGGGATTAAAGGTGTGTGCCACCACACCTGGCAATATATGTTTTTTAAAAAAATATTTATTTTTATTTTATGTGTATGAGTGTCGTCTGCATGTAGATAAGTGCACCCGTGTTGTGCAGTGCCCGCAGAGGACAGAAGAGGCTGTCAGATCCCCTAGAACTGGAGCTACGGACAGTTGTTAGCTGCCATGTTAGCTGCTGGGGATTCAAACGCGGGTCTTCTGCAAGAACAACCAGTGTTCTTAACCGCTGAGCCATCTCTCCAGCCCCCAATATAGAGTTTATTAAAAAATGAATCAATTGCCGGGCGTGGTGGCGCACACCTTTAATCCCAGCACTCGGGAGGCAGAGGCAGGCGGATCTCTGTGAGTTCAAGGCCAGACTGGTCTACATAGTGAGTTCGGGACAGCTGCGGCTACAGGGAGACCCTGTCTCAAAAAGACCGAAAAAAAAAAAAAAAAAAAAAAAGAATCAATTAGAGGGCTAGAGCGATGGCTTGGCAGTTAAGAACATTGGCTGCTCTTGCAGAGGACCCAGAGAGTTCCCAGCACCCACAAGGTGGCTAACAATCATTTTTAACTCCAGCTCCAGGAAATCTGATGCCTTCTTCTGGCCTCTGTAGGCATTGCACAACAAAGACATACTTATGTTCAGGCAAAACACTCAAATAAATTGGGGCTGAAGAGATGGCTCAGTAGCTAAAAGCATATACTGCTCTTCCAGAGAACCCAAGTTCAATTACCAGCACCCATGTCGAGTGGCTCACAGCTGCCTGCACCTCCAGTTTCTGGAGATCCGATGTCTCTGGCCTCTACAGGTACCTTCACTCACCAAACATTCACACGCCAGGCATCAAGCACCATTTAAAAAGAAAGCCAGGCATGGTGGCTCATGCGTTTAGTCCCAGTACTCAGGAGGCAGAGGCAGGTGGAACTCTGTGAGTTCAGGCCAGCCTGGTCTACATAGTGAGTTCCAGGCCAGCTGGGGCTACAGGGAGGCCCTATTTCAAAAAGACCAACAAAATCCACCAGGGTCTTTTGGCAAATGCTCTCACTGTCCTCCTGGCCGCCTCCCAGTCCCTCCTCCCCACATCCCAGCTCTTCCTCCCCACCTCCCATCACCTCCATAAAATGACTAGAACTCCTTTAAAAAGGAGTAAACAAACATGATTACCTGTTTCTTTGGTAGTACTAGGGACGGAACCTAGGACCTAACACACTGCCAAGTGTTCTTGTAAAGCTGTATTTCCAGTTCTCTTTGGACTTTTTCTGAGATAGGGCCTCGTAAGTCACACATTATACAGGCTAAATCTGAATTTTTAAGCTTCCAGCTAGAGTCTCCAAGCAACTAGCTAGGATTACAAGCACGTGTGTATCATTAGATTCAGTTCTCCTCTATGTTCCAAGAAGAAAAACAGAAGGAAAACAGGATGTAACATAACATTTAGACATACAATTTTTTAAAAAAATTATTATTTTTATTTTATGTGTATGCGTATATTGCCTGCATGTAGGTAAGCGCACCCGTATCATACAATGCCCGTGGAGGTCAGAAGAGGCTGACAGATCCCCTGGAACTGGAGTTACAGACAGTTGTTAGCTGCCATGTGGGTGCTGGGATTTGAACCCAGGTCTTCTCCAAGAACAACCAGTGTTCTTAACCACTGAACCATCTCTCCAGCCCCTAGACATACTTTTTTTTTGTAGTGAAACCCAGGCCCTTGAACATGTGAGGTAAGTACTCTGCCACTGAGCCACATCTCTAGAACACACCCTTTGTGTCAGAACCTTGCTCCTAATTAGATTCTGAATCTGTATTTTTTTTTTTTTTCAAATCTTTTTGAAACAGGGTCTCCATATAGCCTTAGTTGGCCTGGAACTCACTAGGTAGAGTGGGCTGGTCTTGAACTCACAGAGATCCGCCCACTGCCTGCTTCCGCCTCCAGACTGCTGGAATTAAAGGCGTGCACCACCATGCCGGACAGAATCTCTACATTCTTGACCCTCTGACCCACCTGCGATGGTGGAGATCTGGCTCACTGGGATAGTGGCAGCCTTCTGCAAGTCCATCTTTATCTTCTTGGCCTGCCAGAAGACAAGAGTGACAAGGGCAGACGCGTTGTGAAGGGCTGAGCACTCGCCTTCAGGACGAAGGGACGTAACACAGGACATTCTTTTAGGACACCAGAATTCTTGCCACCCACCTGACCCCTACCTGACCGTCCTTGCTGCTAACCAGGCCCTCAAAAGCCAAAACACATTTGGCGGAAGCATCTTGAAGCTGCTGGTACCACTGCATCGTACTGTCTTGTACCTTTATCTGCAGATCTAAGAATAAAAGACAGGTGTTCATGGCAGCTAGTGTTTGCTGGACATTCAGCATGAGCCAGGAACTGTTCTAATCAACTTTTCAGGGACAGGTTGGTTTAGGGGTCACAATCCCATTGTGAAGAAGATTGTGCTTCTATCTCCATTTAATGAACAAAGAAAGAGGAAAGGTTGTCTGCCTAAGTCACATTGCGACAGTAAGTGGAAACTGACTCCCACTGTCTGGCTATGCACTCAAACACTGCTGTGCTCATCCTCAAATATATTAAATAAACATCTGCACGCATCATTGAAAGTATCAGCAGCAGCAACATTTGGAATAATTCTGTTACTAGAATTAGACAGGCTTTCAAGTCCTTGTGGAAAAATTTCAATCTGAAATCAGTTCCACATCAGCCAAAACCGCCTGTAGCACGTGATGTCAAGTTCTGATTAACCAGACCACCCTACAGCTCTACTCGGTCTCACTCCTTTCGGCATTCTGAAGCTTACACAGAGCTAAAGGACCACACCCAGACCACGCACACCTTTGCTCTGTGTCCTTCCAGGGCCTTGGCGGGGGGCTGGAGGCTGTGTGGGGGCCCCTGGCCCTGGCTGCATCTGTGCTTCTTGCAGCTTGGCCCGGGCTTCCTCCTCCTGCTGCTGCTTCTTGTGCTCACAGGCTCTGCTGATCTCCTGCTCCAAGTCTGAGAGAAGGTCGCGCATTTCCTGCAAGGCTTGCTCAGCCTCAGCTTGGTTCTCTGCTGTGGGATAGCCACTCTGTCAGAGCAAGAAACAGTGCTGAGTTCATTCCCTAGGTATTTTGTGGGGCTAACTCACACTCACCTAGTACATTTCTAAAGTGGAGCTACTGGATCAACAAGTACATGTTCTGTATGTTGATATCTACTGCCCTCCTCTTCTCTTAAATATTTATTATAGGGGCTGAAGAAATTGCTCAGCGGTTAAGAGCACTGACTGCTCTTGCAGAGGATCCAGGTTCGATTCCCAGCACCCACATGGCGACTACAAACTGTACTTAACTCCAGTTCCAGGGGAATCTGAAGCCCTCCTCTGACCTCTGCGACACTGCATGGCACAGGTGCACTAACATACATGCAACACACTCATACACATAAAAATAATAAATTAAAAAAAAAATGGGGCTTGAGAAATGGCTCAGCAGTTAAGAACACTGACTGTTCTTGCAGAAGACCTGGGTTTGAATCCCAGCACCCACATGGCAGCTAACAACTGTCCATAACCCCAATCCCAGGGGATCCAGGATCGACAGTTTCTTCTGACCTCCACGAGCATTGCACGACTCTGGTGCACTTACCCACATGTAGGCAATACACTGATACACATAAAACAAAAATAATAAAATAAATAAAAACACTTATCATCATAGAGCTGGAGAGATGGCTCAGTAGTTGAAAGAGCTGGCTGCTCTTGCAGAGGATCTGGGTTCGATTCCCAGCACCCACATGACTCCAGTTCCAGGGGATCCAACCTCCTCTGACCTCTGCTAGCATTGTATGACATGGGTGCACTTGCATGCATGCAGGCACTACACTCACACACATGAAATAATAAACGTTCTAAAACAAGACTCATCATCATAGAGCTGAGAGTGGTGACTGACTCCTGTAATCTCAATGCCTGGGAAGCAGAGGAAGAGGACCACTGCAAGTCTGAGGCCAGACAGAGCTACAAAGCGAGACCCTATCTGTCTCAAATAACCAAGTAAGGCCACCAGGATAGCTCAGTAGGTAAACTGCTGAGCAACCCCGAGAACCTGAGTTTGACCCCCAGAATCCAACTAAAGCTAGAAGGAAAGAACTGATACAAAGTTGTCCCCTGACCTCTACATGTGTACAGTAGCATGAACGTGCTAACAGGTGCACACACAAAACAGTAACAAACTTTAAAAAAAGGTTTACCAGGGGCCGGGCAAGGTGGCGCACACCTCTAATCCCAACACTCGGGAGGCAGAGGCAGGTGGATCTCTGTGAGTTCAAGGCCAGCCTGGTCTACATAGTGAGCTCCAGGACAGCTGGGGCTACAGGGAAACCCTGTCTCAAAAAGACCAAAAAAAAAAAAAAAGTTTACCAGGCTGGAGAGACGGCTCAGCGGTTAAGAGCACTGACTGCTCTTGCAGAGGACCCAGGTTCGATTCCCCGCAGCTACAAACCGTCCTTAACTCTTTACAGGGGAATCCGAAGCCCTTTGCTGACCTCCATGGCACTGCATGACATGGGTGCACTCACATACATGCAAGCAATGCACTCATACACATAAAATTAAAAAAAAAAAGGTTTACCATCACACCACCATATCTAACCAGCGTCTGTGATGCTCACATCAATGCTGGTCAGAGCAATCTTTTTTTTTTATTTATTTTTTGTATGAGTGTATTGCCTGCATGTATGTGAGTGCACCCATGTCATGGGACGCCGTGGAGGTCAGAAGAGGACTTCGGAGTCCTCTGGAACCAGAGTTAAGGACAGTTCGTAGCTGCCATGTGGGTGCTGGGAATTGAACCTGGGTCCTCCACAAGAGCAGTCAGTGCTCTTAACCACCGAGCCATCTCTCCAGCCCCCAGAGCAATCTTTTATAAACTGTGATGACACCAGGCATGTGGTGTCACATCTGTAATCCCAGGACTCGAGGTAGATGCAGGAGCATGGTTTTAAGTTCCAAGCCACACTGCACTGTACAGCAAGACCTTGTCACAAAAAACAGAGGGTCTGAGAGAGGGCTCAGTGGTTAAGAACACTTGCTGCTCTTTCAAAAACCAAAACTTGGCTCCCAGCACCCACATCAGGTGGCTCACAATCACCTGTAACTCCAGCTCCAGGGGATTTGATACCCTATTCTGGCCTCCATGTATATCCACATACATGTGTGCACACATGATGCACACATGTACACATAAATAAAAATAAAAGCTATGGCCAGGCATGTGGCACATACCTTTAATCCCAGCATCTATCTAGATACCTAACTATCATTCAAACAGTCACCTTTTTCCATTGAACTTAAATTTTCCTTTGGTCTCTGGTTTTATGCTTCAATACCAAAGTAATATGGAATAAAATGAAAGTACGAAGACAGGATAAATGTCATCATTATTTTCATGGATTAGCTTTGTTCACTAGATTTTTACTTTACCAGGACAGATGCATGCTAGGGAAGTGCTCTCCCCGCACTGGATGAAGTAATTACCTATAATTATTCCTCCATAGGCAAGCATTACTTTTATTTTTGTTTATTTTTTTTATTTTTTTGGTCTTTTTGAGACTAGGTCTTCCTGTAGCTGCAGCTGGCCTGGATTCGCTAATGGAGACCAGGCTGGCCTGCAACTCACAGAGATCTGCCTGCCTCTGCCTCCTGAGTGCTGGGATTAAAGGCGTGCTGGGATTAAAGGCGTGCACCACGACACCAGGCTACTTTTATTTTTATTTTATGTGTATGAGTACTTTGCTTGCATGTAGGTGAGTGCACCCACATCATGCAATACCCTAGAGAACAGAAGAGGACATCAGATCCCCTAGAACTAGAATTATAGTCAGTTGTTAGCTGCCATATAGGTGCTGGGATCAAACCCGAGTCTCAGCAAAAGCACCCAGTGCTCTCAAATGCTGAGTCATCTCTCCAGGCATTGCTTTTAAGGGAAAACACCATCTGCCTTTTAGGCAGCTCCATTTCTGACAGGAGGCATTTATTCTATAATCCTTTACCTCCAATGTGTTTCGAACGATTCCAGAGATGAGGCTGCACAGCTGGTTGCCCCGGGTCTGGAAGGCAGCCAGGTCAACATTCAGCAGGTCTTTGTGCTGGTCTGAGGCATCCAGCTGCTGGTTGAGCTGCAAGACCTCCTCTTGTAAGGCATAGAGGCTGCGTAGGCGGACCTGGCCCTCCTCTTTCCGAAGCTGCTCTTGCTCTGCCTGCTTCACACGCTGCTGTTCTGCCTCCCGCAGCTTCAGGTTGAGAATCTACAGAGAAGGCCATGATGTTGCTGGGCCTTTCCCTCTCCATACTGCTCTAGAACGGAGTGAGCCACATCTCTTCACAGGAGGGCTCAGAGCAGTAAACGAGACTTTCCAGGGCCAACACACTCGTTAATTGTAATTTTCAACTTGATTGGCTTGTGAAGCACCTAGATTAGTAAATCGTACCTCTAAGGGTTTCTGAGGGCACTTCCAGAGCAGAGGGAAGCAGACCTGCTCTGAGTATGGGTGGCACCATCCCCCAGGCTAGAGCCCTGAGGAGTAAAAGGAGAAAGGGGAAATCCAGAAACCTAGGTTTCTGAGACAGGGAACTAGCAGTGGAAACCTTCTTTTGGCGGGGGGGGGGGGGGGGGCAAGAGGGG